ATATCATCCCAGACAAGGCTTTGTCTACCCAGGTCTTAAAAACCTCCAAGGATAGAGAGTCCACAACCTGTCTGGGTAACCTGTTCCAGTGCTTTACTACTCTTCTTGTGAGAGAGTTTTTTTCTTATATCTAACCTAAACTTCCCTTGCTGCAACTTGAGACCTGTTGAGAAACTGTTCTTTGTTCTGTGCTGTGCCACCACTGAAAACAGTCTAGCTCCATCCTCTTGGAATCCCCCTTCAGATAGTTGAAGGCTACTATTAAATCCCCTCTCTGTCTTCTCTTCTTCAGACTACATAAGCCCAGTTCCCTCAGCCTCTCCTCATAAGTCATGTGCAATGTTTCTTCTAAGGAGCACCGGTCCATGAGCACGCTGCCTTGGTCCGTGAGCACACCGCCTCGGTCCAGCATGGGACACTTACCAAAGGGGCCTGAGGGCTGGGGGCTGGAGGCTGGGGGCTGGGGCCAGGGGACGGAGGCTGGAGCTGTGATCTGGCACCAGATGCTGGGGGCTGGAGGCTGGAGCTGGAAGCAGGGAGCCAGGGTTTTCTGGTGGTTGTATCCAAGGTTCCCTCTAAGGTGCGTGTGTGTGTGGCCACGCACAACTAATAGTGTGGCCGCGCACAGCCTTTTCAAGGCCATGCACCAGGAGAGGCTGGGACGGGAGCCTGGTGTGGGCTTCACTCGCTCTGGGGAAGTGCTGTGCTCCCCCACATCAGGGCTGGGGATTGGAGCACTTCCCCGGAGCCAGCGGAGCCTGTGCCAGCCCCCTGCCCCAGCCTCTATCCCTGTGCCAGCCCCCCGCCCCAGCCTCCAACCCTGCCTTGCCTCACCTCAGGGAGGAGCCACTGCCTGCCCCAGTGAGGCTCCACCAGCTCCAGGACACTGCTCCACTCCCTGGCCCTGATGCCATGCGCCTCCTCACTCCCCGAGGCGATGCAGGGGAGTGGCGCACTGTCCCAGAGCCAGCGGAGCCTCACTTGGAGCAGGCAGCAGCTCCTCCCCGAGGTGAGGCAAGGCAGAGATGGAGGCTGGGGGAGGGGGGGGGGGGGGGGGGGGCGCGCCCGCGCG